AGGAGCAGTGTGCTCAAAATGAACATGCTTCTGCGCCTGCTCTATCTGCTCCAAACTCTACCGATTTCGGTTCCATTGTACTTTCTAAAAATGGTGCAGAGAGAGTTTGCCAGTTTTCTCTGGTCCAATTGGACATACCGTTTGAACAAGACCCTACTGGCTTTACCCAAATCGAAGGGAGGCATCGGCTTTCTGGATCCTCTGCGATATCACCTGGCGGTACACATGGCACGGGTCTTCGAGTGGTGCAACCAGGCAACTGACAAGAGATGGGTACACGCTGTCTCCCCTGCCGGCTTACTATGGACCAATCAGGTTTTGCCTCAGGAGAGTATTACCCACCCTCTTATTGGCTGCACGATCCGAGTTCTGCGAAGTGACGGGCCTGTGCTTTCTCCCGGGACTTCACCTTCCCTTCTAACCCCAGTCATTGGCAATCCTGCCTTCCCACCGAGCCTGGAGGATAAGTCTTTTTTGCGATTTGTACGTGCTAACAAGTGATGGCACACTTCTGGTCCTCAGGGAATCTCCCGGAGCTCTAGTCCAGGGTTATACCTCCCCTGATCCGGTGGCAGGCTTTGCAACTATGCTCCTATTTACTGAGCATATCGAGTTTGTTCCCACCAAGGCATGACATCTCAGACTTTGAGGAAATATGCATCCCTCCACCACTCCAGGTTTGGCTTGGGAAGGTGGATGAGCTGCGTGTCTTAGAGGAGTTGAAGGCTGCTCTTCACCACTCAGAAGCCAAATTCCGAGAAACATGGTTTTATTGGCTGGAGTTCCTGGACTCTCCAGACTTCGGGGACCTGATGGCCCAATAGCCACCTTCGCCCCTCTAGTTGTCATCGCGCCTGCTGAGTCTGGCTTGGTATTCTTACTTCATCTTCTCCTCTGCCTTTGGTCTTTGCTGGTAGGAATTAGCCCCCTATATAGCTCCCTTATCTAGTTTGTCCAGGCAGCATAATGTCAAGGGGTGTGTATTTGGATAGCCTGACACATGAATGCCGATCATAGGTCTCCCGGACAAGTTTACAATGCCTCTGGGAGCCTTCCCTCACGTACATTCACCAAGAACAAAATGAGAGTTTTATTGTCTGACTTTTCCTTTTGTGTATATCTTGTACTTGCAATATGTTTTGACTGTCTCTTATGTACCTGGAACTGCAAGTCCGACGGGGTACAACTTTGTGTATTAAAATTTGACATAAAGAATTTACAAAAAGTAAAGTGATGAAGTAAAGTGTGATGGTGGGTCTAGTATGTTATTAGGGGAAGGTGACTGGACAGTGGAGATCTCATCCTGAATTGCATCTATCTTGTTTCTGAAATGAATGGCAATGTCCTGTACAGTGAATGAGTTAGTGGGTGGGGGGACATAGTAGAGTAGTGGTTGTCAACTTTTCTAGGGCTGGGACCCCTTGGTAACATTTAGGAATGCACCAATACTAGTATCTGTGTGGGCTCATGTGAGCTCAATGGGGCTTTCTCGCGGTCAATGGGGCTCTCTGTTGGCCAGTGTGGACTCTCTGGTGGCCAGTGTGGACTCTGTGATTGTCATGCCGGCATTCAACTCCCCTCACTCCCGCCCGCTCCCCTCTCTTTGATCCTTCTTGGCTGCCGGTGCTGCAGCGCCATCTAGCGGCACGGCCTGAGAACTGACACTGCTGCTCTAGGAGGTGGCTGAGGAGCCTCTCACCTAGCGCAGCACAAAGCATGTGGTGACCCCTTCCACAGTGGGTTGTGACCCACTTTTGGGTCGCGACACACAGGATGAGAACCACTGTAGTAGAGAGTTAAACGTAGAAAAGAGTTGACCAGGTCTAGATGAGAGTGTGTTACTGAGGGTGACAAAATAAGTCGGTTGGCAACACGGATGGCAGCTTTAAACAGGGGGGAAGTCTTGCAGAGACCTAGCTTACACCACACTTGCTCAAGAGCATGGCTATGTCTTTTAAGATCACTGATTTCTTTTGTTTGCCATGGCTGTAGTGGATGCTGTCTAAGTCTGTGTGTAGTGAGGGGAGCCAAGGAGTCTAGGGAGGATGAGCGTGAGCTGTTGAAGACAGAAATAGCCAGGTCAGGGCAGGACAGGGATGAGATTTTGTCATAGAGGTAGTCAGTAGCAGAGTAGAGAAGGGTTGAAGTGGCAAAGGTTTCTCTGGGTAGCAGTGTGCTGATTAGGGGGATTCAGGGTTGGGGACAAGGTGAACATGAAACTAACAAGGTTGTGGTCCTAGAGAGGAAAAGGGGAGTTGGAGAGGTTGCAAGGAGTGCATAGGTGCGAGAACACAAGATCTATTATGTTGACAATTGTCATCGAAGTCAGTAGGAGTGCGTGTTTATTGTATTAGGTCAAAAGAAGAGGTTAGGTTGAGAAGTTGAGTGGTAGCCGGGGTGTTAGTGTTAGTAGCAATGTTAAAGTCACCCAGAATGATAGGGGGTATTACAGATGCGAGAAAGTAGGGTAGCCTGGCAGAGAAGTAATCAAGAAAGCAAGATACCGGTCCAGGAGGCCGATAAACTACGGCAATCCTTAGAGAAACTGGAGAAAATAGGCAAATACAGTGGGCTCCACAAGAGGAGAGGGATAGAGAGGGAGGCGAAGGCAGAACTTGAAAAGTGCATTGTGGGGATGGGATGATTCCCACTCCACCTCCTTTACATCCATTGGCTCTGGGTGAGTGCATCCAGTGGAGGCCACCATGGGAAAGTGCAGCAGGGAAGGCAGAGTCATATTCCTGAAGCCAGAGAAAAAAAAAATTTGGGGTTAGGGTTTGTGGATTGCGGCTGCTGCCAGAGGAAAGGCAGTGCTGGTTTGAGGGGGGAATATTAGAAAACAGAGGATTGGAAGAAATATCCCCAGAAGTCAGGAGAAGCATAAGGGTGAGTGAAGTGAAATGAGAGCGAGTTTTATATGAGCGCACATGCCCCAGTGTCCTGGAGGTAACCCTAGCATGTGGGTACAGAATGAGCAGGAGGTAATGAGTGCAGTAATAATAGGGAGAGGGCAGGAGAAAGGGTGAAATATATAATTTGTGTGTGTGTGGGGGGGGGTGGGTAAAGGAAAGAAAGTTCAAGAAGAGGAGACACAATTGTGAAAAGGAATGGTAGAGAAAGCATGTCAAGGGATAAAGAGTAGTAATCAGTTTTGGACAGAGCGAGGTGGATGGGGAAAAATAGGATCACCTGCAGTCTGTCAGGAGCATTGTTGCCATATTTTTGTGCCTTCTCCAAGTGCCTTATCTAAGTCCCAGCTGTGAAGCAGGAAGCACTGAGAGCACATCGCTTCCTGATTCACTGATCACGGAGCAGATTTCATTCTTTGAGATTCTTAAATCTGCTTATGCTCTCCATCCTGAATGTATTTTCTGTGGTCCCGGGCCCCAGAGGAGCAGGGGACCCCAAAAACCATGGCTGGGGGGTGGGGAGGGGGTTTAGCACAGTAGTAGCAGGAAAGTACATGCTGCCAATCAATTGTATACAGCATTGCACCTGACCATGCCTACCTCTTCCCCAGGCCCCATAGCTGCCACATGGGTCGCTATGGTGGTAGTTCCACCACTGCTTGGGGCTGACCTGACGTTTGAATTGTATAGATTGAGGCTGATCTGATGTGTGAAATGTATGGCTTAGAGCTAATCTGAGGGCTGAAGTATATGGGCTAGAACTGATCTGAGGTCTGAATCTTATGGATTGGGGCTGATCTTAGATCTGAATTATATGGCCTGGGGCTAATCTGAGGTCTTTATGCAATACTGTAAAGCTGATTTACAGCAGATAACTCAGAAGTGTGTGTGCCGCTGAAATTAACATCCTACAGGCCAAATATACCAAAGCAAAGCTGCGAAAAACAGGAATAGGTATCACGCTGAAACACACTGATATAAGTTCAGTTTACTTCTCAGTACATGTAAATATGAACATGTTTTGTGTGTGCACTAGTTAATCAATTTTTGCATTCATTATCGTAGTGCTAATGGCAAGTTATTATATAAAAATGAATGAGTTTAACTTTCCATTATCAGAAGACCTATAAGTGTAAAAATTTGAAGCTAAGCATGCTATTGCTCACTGGCAATCCGCTTGTCTAATGCTTTTAAAAATGATACTTGATATGGAAAACTTTGATGACTCCTGCCTAAAGTAAAACTGTCTTAGAAAAACTGCAATTGATCACCTCCTTTAGAAAATGATAGTTGCCTGGTTGTCATCCTAATCCACTGGCTTCAAAACTTTCCTAAGCTAAAGATCCAAGATACAAATGCTAATCAGGAAAGTCAGGGAAAGGTATTAACCTGCATTCCTGTTGCAGATCGATGACTTTAACCCACTGAAGCAAAAGGGTCAATATGAGAGGCAGGCTGCTAGCACTTTTAGTAGGGAAAGTCAATAGTGGCTGTTTGAGTTATGACAGATTTCCTATACCCCACACAGCAAATTATCATGATCTCTGTTACATATGTGATAAATAAGGACAGATAAAAAACAAAGACCTAAAGTTGGCTATAAACTGGTAGATTTTGGTACGAATGTTTATACAAACAATCTTGTCAGAACATTCAATACCAGAGACTTGACAAACGTTTAAAATCCTATTTGGTTTTATCATCCGATATTGGAAATAAATGGACATTTCCATCCTGCTTTGTTAATTTGACCCTAATAATTATTAGAAAGTAGAACAAACTAGCACTTCAGTCCTGGTGGAGTTGAGAGTGCAATTGGATATGACATTGACTTTATCTTTTCTCAATTTTACACCTAATGGTGATATAAATGTCTCTTCAACACAATTTGACTATGGCACTTTGTTATAAGAACGCTTACCGCTGCTGTGTCAGCAGGCTAATTCCTTTATCCAGCTATTATTCATTGCTATTTGGAAAACCAATAAAAGTTTGTGAAAGAAAATAGAACAAACATTCTAAAAACATTTTTTTTCCAACCAAATTCTACTGGCGTATGACCAGCTTTAGTATGAGAAGGAATGTACTTACCAGAGTTAAGGATGCGGTGTGTAGACATCTCTTTCAGCAAGATGGGAATAAAAGGGTCTTGCCTAGGGTATAGCTCATAGCGGTTGATTCCTATGTGGAACTTAAGCCATGTGGGATAAGTGTCAGAAGCAGCTTCACCTGCTGGTAGGATGAACTTCATTCCAGCACTGACCCTGTGATGAAATGTAAGAATGGCACGTGTTATGGATTTCATTTAAATATTTTAATAATTGATATCAGAAATATAATGTACATCTTTTAATAATTAACTTCTAAGAAATTGTTTTCTAAAATGATATAACATTATTGAAACCTTATAATATTATACAGTATTTTGGTATATGTTTATTATAGCCAGGTATGTGATTGGATTCAGGTGTTCCAATCACCTATATGGCCACAGGTGTATACAATCAAGCACCTAGGCATGCAGACTGCTTCTACAAACATTTGTGAAAAAATGGGTCGCTCTCAGGAGCTCAGTGAATTCAAGGGTGGTACCGTGATAGCTTGCCACCTGTACAATAAGTCCATCCGTGAAATTTCCTTGCTACTAAACATTCCACGGTCAACTGTTAGTGGTATTATAACAAAGTGGAAGCAACTGGGAATAACAGCAACTCAGCCACAAAGTGGTAGGCCAAGTAAAGTTACAGAGCGGGGTCAGCGCACAGTGCGCAGAAGTCGCAAACTGTCTGCAGGGTTAATAGCAACAGACTTCCAAACTTCGTGTGACCTTCAGATTGGCACAACAGTGCATAGAGAGCTTCATGGAATGGGTTTTTATGGCCGAACAGCTGCATCCAAGCCTTACATCACCAAGTGCAATGCAAAGCGTCGGATGCAGTGGTGTAAAGCACACCGCCACTGGACTCTAGAGAAGTGTAGACGTGTTCTCCAGAGTGACGAATCATGCTTCTCTGTCTGGCAATCCGATGGACGTGTCTGGGTTTGGTGGTTGTCAGGAGAATAGTACTTGCCTGACTGCATTGTGCCAAGTGTAAAGTTTGGTGGAGGGGGGATTATGGTGTTGGGTTGTTTTTCAGGGGTTGGGCTTGGCCACTTAGTTCCAGTGAAGGGAACTCTTAAGGCATCAGCATACCAAAACATTTTGGACTATTTCATGCTCCCAACTTTGTGGGAACAGTTTGGGGATGGCTCCTTCCTGTTCCAACATGACTGCGCAACAGTGCACAAAGCAAGGTCCATAAATAAATGGATGAGTGAGTTTGGGGTGGACGAACTTGACTGGCCTGCACAGAGTCCTGACCTCAACCCGATATAACACCTTTGTGATGAATTAGAGCGGAAACTGTGAGCCAGGCCTTCTCGTCCAACAACAGTACCTGACCTCACAAATGCACTTCTGGAAGAAGGACGGTCAAACATTCCCATAGAAACACTCCTAAACCTGTGGACAGCCTTCCCAGAAGAGTTGAAGCTGTTATAGCTGCAAAGGGTGGGCAAACTCAATATTGAACCCTACGGAGTAAGACTGGGATGCCATTAAAGTTCATGTGTGTGTAAAGGCAGGCATCCCAATACTTTTAGCAATATAGTGTATATTATAAGAGACTACATTACAGTAAATTATTTCTTGTAGCTCTTGCTATTTTTTTTTAAAGATCTAAGCACTTTAAATATATGCCGATATGCCAAGAAAAAAGGGCAAATATAAGGATTTGTACGACTTTGACAAGGGCTAAATTGTGATGGCTAAACAATGGGACAGAGCAACTGCAAGACTGCAACTCTTGTGGGATGTTCCCAGTCTGCAGTGGTCAGGACCTACCAAAAGTGCTCCAAGTAAGGAAGACCGGCTGAACTAGCGACAGGGTTATGGTTGACCAAGGCTCATTGATGCATGTGGGGAGCCTGTGTAGTTCGATCCAATAGAAGAGCTACTGTAGCTCATACTGTTGAAAAAGTTAATGCTCATTTTGATAGGTGTCTAAACACACAGTGCAGTTTGTTGCATATAAGGCAGCGTAGCCGCAGACCGGTCAGGGTTACCTGGGGTAGAGATGGCACCAGGATGCACTATGGGAAGAAGGAAAGCTTACAGAGGCAGTGCGATACTTTTGGCAATGTTGTGCTGGGAGATGTTACTTTGACATGTACCATTTATCTAAACATTGCTGTTGACCAAGTACACCCCTTCATAGAAATTGTTTTCCCTGATGGCAGTGGCCTCTTTCAGCAGGATAATGGGCCCTGCTACATAGCAAAAATGGTTCAAGAATGGTTACTACCTACTCAACGAACCTACTCAATATTAAGCGGGTGATCATAATGTTATGGTTGATCGGTGTATGCAAAACATTGAACTGGATGGAACAAAATCCCATTACAGTTCCCAGAGAAAATCCCAGTGTAGTTACAGCTCATAGGTGGCAATGGTCATAATTAATTCATAATAAAGTAAAACATGGACTCAATCTCTAATCTAACTGTAGAACCTCTTAAACTAACCACATACAGCTAAATTTTCTCCTGTCGGACCGCAGGCTAAACAAGAGAAAATCAATAGATTACCCCATCCATGCTAAACAATGCGAGTGTAGGAATCTCCGCTGCTGGCTATTGGCCAGATGCATGAATACCCAAAGAGTGACTGCATCTGATAGGGTTCAGTCACTGTTTGGTCAATGTTCATATTGGCTTTTGTCGAGTCGAGTGGTTCTGACAGGCACACCCACGGCCTGAATTTGAGCCCTGTACGCTAGCTTTAGGAGTATATTATATAGCAAGGGTAAACTTGGGTATTTTCAATCTGCTGGAGTGTTTACTGTTCAATTACTTAGCCTTTTATACAACTTCAGCCAAATAGTGGAACTGATCTCCAGAGCATAGGCGTCTCTACAGGGGGGCAAGGGGGAGCAATTGCCCCCCCCCCTAGGTTATTCCTTGCCCCCCCGTGTGCCCCCCCCGCTGAAAACGGCCGCAGACCTTACTAGTGATCACCGCTAGATCACCCGGGAACGATGTGCCTCCTCCCTGCAGGGATGAAAGCAGGTGAAGAGAGCAGATTTTTAGTGCTCTGGACCCTATACATTTTTTTTCAGAATCCAACACTTCTAACATGATTATAAAACACTGGTTGCTTTTAACTGAGGATGTATTTTAACTGACCAGTATCGGTAATGGTGCCAATATTGGGCATTTTCACAAGTACTCATGAAATGCCCCATTACTAAATACCAATACCAGCCCTGTAAATTTTTAAACAGGAGCAGCTGCTGTAAGGTCCCGCGCTTGCTGAGGACCTTGGCAGCCTGTTGGTGTGACCACACAGCCCTGGTCAAACGCTGCACACAGCCCTGGTGAGACCGAGTATGTAGCTTCATATTATTCTGCATTGCTGTATTATGTATTACTGGAATTTGTAGTCCTCTATAGCTGAAGGTATTCTGCATTGCTGTTTAATGTATTTCTGGAATTTTGTAGTCACTCTACAGCTGGGAGTCAGTGGCAGAACTACCAGGGTCACAGCAGTTGCAGATGAGACTGGGCCCTGGCGCTCCACCACTGTCCTAAAATCATTAGTCTGTATTGTTTTAGTAAAACTGTCACATGACCCAATAAAAAAATTAAAAAAAGATATCAGTAATTGGTATCGGTGAGTACTTGAGGAAAAGTATCTGTACTCATACTCGATCTTGAAAAAATGGTATCGGTGCATCCCTACTTTTAACCCTGTCAAATGATGAAGGTAATCCATACAGAGAACATAAGAGAGGTAAGTTCTAATATTATTTAATGCTTCAACCAAACCTAGGTTTAACCTACGCTATCGAATACTTTAAAAAGCACAGAATTCAGCAAATTATATCGCAGAATATCAGTGCATTTTAAAAATGTAACTAACTGGGCAATACTATGGCAGATGAGGTTTAATGTTGATAAATGCGAAGTAATGTACTTTGGACATAAAAATAAACAAATAGGCTATACAATCATGGGTATGCCGCTAGGGAAGTCAGAAATAGAAAAAGATTTGGGGGTCATTGTAGACCACAAACTGAATGGTAGCTTGCAGTGCCAAGCTGCGGTAAACAAAGCTAGCAGGGTCTTGTCCTGTATTAAGAAGGGGATGTATTGCAGGGACAAGTCTATAATTGTGCCTCTATATAGATCGTTGGTTCGGCCACATCTGGAGTACGCGGTCCAGTTTTGGTCGCCGGTACTGAGAAGGGATGTCCTTGAACTGGAGAGAGTCCAGCGGAGGGCAACAAAACTAATTAGGGGAATGGAGGACCAGAGCTATGAGACAAGGCTTCTGACCTTAAACATGTTTACGCTGGAATTAAGGAGATTAAGGGGGGATATGATTTTCATGTACAAGATGTTCAATGGTGACAGCAACATTGGCAACAAACTGTTTGAGATTAACTCCATTACAAAGACTAGAGGCCACCACCTAAAGTTGGTGGAGAAAAAATTCCAGCACAATGGGCGAAGAGGGTTCTTTACAGTAAGAGCGGTTAAGGTCTGGAACTCACTGCCATCGGCAGTGATTTCAGCCAAGAGTGTAGATTTGTTCAAGAAACGTTTGGACAATTTCTTGAGGGACCGTAATATCCAGGGATACCAGTATCCCTAAGAATGAGATGATGCGTGGACCTATATGGGTTGGACTTGATGGATGTATGTCTTTATTCAACCCCAAATACTATGTAACTATATGTAACTACTATGTAACGCGGGCATTAGCGAGAAAAGTGGGAAGCGCAAGATTCAAAGCAGATGATCTTCTGAAAATGTAACGGAGAAAGGTGTAAATGAAACATTACACAATTCTTAAAGAATGTATCTCATGCTTCCTGGCAGAACAGTTCCAGTCTTCGAATATTCTGAAATGCTGAAATGCATATTTTAGATCATTTCAGATACGGTCTCTGTTATCCGGTATTCAACTAACCAGACCTCTCATCTAACCAGAAAACAAAATCCCTTGTGTACTCACTGTTCTGCTGATCTGCGGCATGTATCATCCTGGAAACGATTGTGTGCCTATATGTCTTAATTTGTTTTAAGTATGTCTATTTGTCTCAATTTGCTCTTGATTACTGCATTTCAATATTAATATTAAGGCAATACAGAGTTTGTTATGGTATGGTGTAGTATGGGGCAGGGCTCAAAATTGCCACACGCCTGCTCGCATTTGGCGAGT